TACTACTACTACTACTACTACTACTACCTCACCGACAATTCAAGCGTCAATTTCGGCGAGGTCCACCGTGTGCTCCACAGCAAGGTGGTGCAGGGACGGTGACTTACGCTGGCTCAGTTTTAAGTGATAGTAGACTTGTGCTGCATCTACCACACGCGATCTTCCCTCACCTGTGCCCGGTGTCAAATCAGAGTCAAGAAGACCGGCCGGGGGATCCGGCGCCGTTTGTAATCGGGACGCAATCCGAATAACGCCGGTCGTACCTTGATCCGGCCCACGAGTTGGTCCATCGCATCTAACACGCGACCCGTTTAGGGGGCAAACCCAATCAATACAGCACAAGAGACACAGATACTGAAATCAACTAATATAGGTGACACTTTCCTCGGCTCCTCTCTCTACTTGTCTTTTGACACATGAAAAACGCAGGAATATGGGTTTTAAAGACTGAAATTCTGATATATATGCACATAAGTAGTACCAGTAACAGTGGTTCTTTCGAAAACAGTTTCAAAAACCTTCCAATGCTTTCGATGGACACACAGTACCTGGAAGAGTAAGACTTGTAAGCTGGAATGATTTGTTTTTGAAGATTATGAGTAATCTTCGACCGGTAGCCACCCATCTGACGTTTTACAGCACGACGAAAAAAGACAGACAACCCAAACCAAGTATGTACCTACGATCGCGATCCAAAAGAATGTTTGCTGTTGCATCTATCGAAGTTCTTACTCTTTTGAAGAGTATGCATACGAAGATTGCACGGCGAAGCCAGGCACAAAATGTACGGGAATACAATCGTCATATAAACAGTGCTAGGGCACTACTGCAAAACTACCTAAACCGCAGCAAAACCAACGCTTAAGACTACGTTTGCTAACTGGACCACGGTAAATGATTCCATCTACTGACACATTGATCTACCTCCAGTGTATCGCTCACTGTAACCTCAAAGTTTTCGGCCAACGACGAGTGCGGCGAAACGCCGAAAATGCCGTTCTTCTAATGCTACTTTCTCAAGTTTTTTGATCCCAGTCCTCTGGAATTTAAAAATCGGCTTCTCACCCCCCC